CCCCAAAACCCCAAAACCCCAAAACCCCAAAACCCCGGAATAGTGATGGTTTGTTGAAGATATGATAACTTATTCAGAAACATTGATTTCATTCGGAGTCAAATCAGAAGCATAGTTCCTACTCATACCTTCATGCTTCTCCTCTTCAAAGATGTTGATGGATGTTCCTGATCTTTGCATTTTAGATTTCTTGGTCTTATTTAATGAATTTGAGGGATTTATTTTTAGATCTTCTCTTTTACTTGGAATAGTAGTATCTTGAGATATTTTCATCCTTCGTTTAGATTTTAGATAATTAAGAATAGCGATAACCAAAGCAAAGATATTGATGATTAATATAATCAACGTATTCAGGGTCATTACTGTGATGACAGTGTTGACCAATGATTCATTCCAGTTGTATTCGTTAGCTTGCACAACAATCACAATTCAGAGTCCTAGATACATGAGATCGTCTAAGATTTCTACAATGTTGTCTTTAGGCTCCTCATAATACCTGATTGTTACTTTGATGGAGACGAAGGCAAACTGAATTAGACAGTAGACTATGGCTCTAGCAACAGAGCCAAAAGACACACTCATGACGATCCAGGTGACACTGCAGAATATTCTGAGCAAGTGGAAAAAGATGGCGAATCTGGCCCAGAAAGTTTCTTTGGTACCATCAACGATTTCAGAGAAGTAAGTTGTTTCCAAGTTGATTTTGTCTTGAGCCACTCTTTTAGAAATAATATATGCCAATACAATCGTGAGCATAAGCGATATCACAATGACTAGCGAGAGACAGTATGAGAGCACTTTGCCAGTAGATGAAAAATCAGAAAGATACACTTCGTTTGAACTTGCAAGATCCAATATAAGGTATGCCTCAACTAAATATCGGATGTAGAAATTCAAAGTTAAAAGCTTGAACAAATACCTGATTGGCCACGAGAGTCTGGATTCATACTTTCTAAATTTAATGTACAAAATTATGATAACCACATGCATAATCATTGCGAGCAAGAGTGACATAAAGAACTGGAACATGCTCAGAAACAATCACTGGTACCTGATCCCAATGTCGTACAGATACCCTGACTCAGAGTTGCACTTCATCAGCTTTTCTGTCTCCACGAACACTGCGAAAGAGTCGAAGCTGATGAAGTCGAAGTTGAAGAGACAGAAGTCCATGCCTTCTAAGAACTCAGTGATTTTGTCAGGGACTGTTGGACTGAGCAGAGGGATCAGCAGGTAAAACTGGAACTGGTGGACGACACTCCATAGGCCTTGAAGTCCTCCTTGCAAAGCAACTGTGCTGATGGTTGCGACCCCAGCGGTTGCTCCAACCATGGTAACAGTCGTTGTTTCTGCAGATTGAGAAAATGAATCTGGCTGAAGTTTGGTATCGTTTGCAGAAATTTGGGAAGATGAGCTCGTAGAACTACCTGAAGATGATTCAGGATCCACTGAAATGACCACTTGCCTTGAGTATGTACTTCCTCCGACTGTCGATTGAATATACACATTGTATGAAGTTGTGGTCGTCACATTAGGAGTGTTCATTGTCAATGTCTGAGCAGTCGAATCTAGAGTGACCCATGTAAGAGGTGATCCTCCACTTCCATCATCGAGCACATGAGTGATAGATCCTGAGCCACTTGCATATCAAGTCAGATATATGTTTTTAACATATTGCTGATTGGCTTGCAGACCTGAATAAGTTAAAGTACTATAATAGTATGAAATCGTTCCAGACGACTCAACAGTAAAAGGTAGTGTTATGCTCAAATCAGAAATTGCACCTGAATCTGTGAAGGTATTAATTTGTATGATTGTTGTAAAATTTGGAGTAATACTTTGGAGAAGATAATCTACGTTTGTGACTGTGAACGAAGTTCCAGCTATTATGTCACTATTTACAGTTGGATTACTAAGAAGCGTTTTTAAAAGATACCCCTTATTTGTTCCAGAAGTCTCACTTCCAATGATAAATAAAAATTCACTTGCTACCATTCCTCTAATTTTCTTTGAAAAAGAAGCAGATTCATAAGAAGTGAAGCTTCCAGAAGTAATATTATATATAGAAAGAGATTGAGATGATCAAGTGATACATATATATACTTGGTCATCTTTCCATACCATTTCATGAAAATCATATCAAGTGTTTGCATCAGTATATTGAGAATCAATTTGATTCCCATCATTGGAATTCAAAACAGAGAAAATTGCAACTGAGTTGTAAATGTATATGCTATAAATGTATTTTCTTGCATTATCATACAGAGCAATTCCTTCAAAACCAGTTCAACTAGCTACAGGTCAAGACACTTTTGTTCCCCATACATTTACATTTGGATTCGTCAGGTCAGCTTTGATGTAATAAAAAGATTGCTCGGTAGATCCTCCATCTAAGCAGTAGAATAAATTGTTTGAATCTAGTGGGACCGCAAATCTTGGAAAATATCCTGAGCTTGCCTGAACTCAATTTAATGGAGATGTTCCACCTTCAAATACTCATACCACTGCTGAAAGTAATGGAATAGAAGTTGCCCCAAATATGAATCCAGGGCTTCCTTCCACTGGGCTCATTCTAAAAAATGCATTAGCACTGAGGAGTCCCGAAGAGGATAGTACTCTCTGAGCAACTCCTGTTGCTCATAAGAACTCTACAATTGTTATATCGCTCTGATTAGAATCAGCAAAATATCAGTTGGACTCTTGGAAGTCAATCACCAGAGTATCAATATAAGGATCAATAGAATTTCCAGCGCTTCTAAGATAGCTATTTCGCCCAGACATTAGTTCCATCTTGTTGCATTCTTTGAATAACAGTTTTGTTACTAGAGCCATTATCACCTATGCTTAGGTAGTAAAAATCTCCAGAGATTGGGCCAAGTCGGATTAGGTACCCATCGATCCCACCAGTAAAGGCGGCATTAGTATAAGATGATGAGCTTATTGTATACCCGCTTGCATTTGGATCTGTACATGTAGTCCCAGAAGAAACGCCAATTACCATTGCCAAGATCGATACAACTAACATTTTTATTAATATATTTTTAATTCGTAAAAACATCTTATGAACATTCAGTTTAGAGAATGTCAAGGGGTTTTGGGGTTTTGGGGTTTTGGGG